AATAAGAAGAAGAAGAAGAAGAAGAAGAAAAAGAAAAAAATACTTATTATTGAAAAGCATAGTAAACAATTCAAAAGGGTTAAAAACTCCTTCCCAAAATACATTTCTACAGCAATATTTCTTATCATAATCTGAAAAAAACATTACTTTTTCTCCTTCTATCCCGAAAAAGGTATTTAAATAAATGAGGACTTCAAATGAATGAAGAATGGGAACTCAATTCATATTTTACTATGAAAACATCATTATGATTTATGAGAAAATGAAGTTTAAATAAAAACAGCTGATACAAAGGTGACTTCAAGCCGTTTAAGCCGTTCTTCAACGTTCCCTTACGCTGAACGTCATATTAAAAACACGCAGAAAAATTAACCGTGTTAGATGCCAGTTCTTGACCAGATACTTCACCATCTAATTTTTTAAGCAAAATTGGTGAAGCTTTTGTACCACACAATAAAACAACGTAAAAGGGCTACCGAATACGAAAAAACAAAGTTCAAAAAACAGTTTACACTTTTAAAACCACCAGCTACAACAAATTCAGAAAAGAAAAAAATAAAAACGTATGACTACAAATTGCACGGTATTCTTTTCATCAAAGATATTCAAAGGGCCAAGTAAATTAGTAAAAACCCCAAAAATTTTTTACCGTTCCAGGAAGAACTCCGCTCATACAAAAACTGTTCAAGGTAAAAATATCAGTAAAAAGAAGTAAAAAACAATTCAGTATCCTGATTAATCATATACACTGTTCCCAAATAAAAAAAATAATGAAACACTGTGAAACTTCCACTACCCAAGACTACCTTTTGGAACTTCGTTGCAAGTTAAATTCAGATGATGGTGACAGAACTTTCTCCATCCTCATAGTTTTTGCTCGTCGACGACCTGGCTCAAGTGAGCGACGAAATTTACCGGAGATTTCTGTCAGTGAAGCTCTGGATCAGAAGACTTTGTGCACTGGAACGTCGACACCAATTTCAAGCTTTCTTTATGTCGCCTGTTCTGTAAACTGGTAC